TCTGAGGCTTGAGGCTTCTCTGCAGGGGAAGCTTCTGGCTTCTCTGAGGGCTCTGGCGCCTCGAAGGGAGCAACTTCTGGCTTCTCTGAGACTTGTAGCTCCAGAGGGGCCATGTCGTTGAGCCCGGATTCCGTTGGTTGAGTGTCGCCCAGCTGTGCGCAAGGATCAAGAACCATTGGCAGAGTTTGAGCTGTGTCCACAGATGACCCTTCTGCACCACCACCGTTGTTGGCGTTCAGGTGGGTCCTGACGATGTTGACCAAAATCAATTAATTCAATTGAATTGAGTTGAGGCTTAAAGAAAACCGGTTAGTTTTTATTACATGGAAACTCTAGGATGAGTCCTGATTTCGGCAATGCGGGCCAGGATGGCTGCCCTGTTGGTAGGTGGCGCCGCACGGCTCTTAGCAGCTACAGGAGGGGCTGGCGGGTGGGCCACAGCAGCACTTGCTGGCAAAGACGTTGACCCTCCATCCAACGAGGTGTAGGGGTCATCGTCGATGTTGACAACACCATCATCACTGCTAGACCCTGCTACAGGATCATTTTCCCAATGGGTGTCCAGGATCTCGTAGAAACCAAACAGCTCCCTGTCCTTGGACGGTCCGATTTTGGAATAAGAAGGGCTATGCGTCAAGAATTAAGTAAGACAAACCGTTCAAGAAAAAATTGCGTTTCATCAAAGACTCGCGAGGGTTGGGACTTCCCACCAGCCACCGACGTAAGCCATAGCTGAAGAGTTTCTTTACTCCCCAGGAATCCACATGGATCGTCGCCATGTCTCCACCATCTAAATTCAGCAGAAGGCGGAATTGCTTTACCTACAGGGGTCCAGAGTGGAAGGTTGTTTTTTTAATGTGTTTGGTTGCCCACAGGTTGATTGAAACTACCGTATAACATTTGTCATCCGGCCTCGTCACGGATCCGTTGAATGGGAACAGTTTGAGGGTCAAAGACCTGTGGGCACCACCATTTTGCAACCTGCTCCAAGACAGTCCTGTTCATAGCAAATGCCCTTTTCGAAGGCGCCCCAACGAGGTGTGGCTGTGGCCAAGCCATCAGGGCCTGTGTATCCCGAGCCCTTTGCCGGATCAGAGCCTCGTGCTCCCACCTCCTGTTAAGCTCGACCGGCTGCGTCTCTTCCATTGAGGTGACTATGCTTCACGAGCCCAGGGGTGAGTGGCTTGAGGAAGAACAAAAAGGCTCCATGAACAAGTCAACATAAGTCAACCATCAGCTCTATCTTGGACATCAACTGTTTAACAGTGTTTCTCTTTAGACTTCAATCTTGGACATCAAACTTTTGGTACATCTTAGCCACACCGCTGCATACTCACAAGAAGTGAGCCTGGCCTCCGGAAGAAAAGATGGTCCTGGTGATTGCTCCCCACATCTATGTGTACCTGTGGAAAGATGGGCTGAGTACCTGTGGTTCTGAGAAAGCTGGCTTCTCAAAGGCGCACTTGGTCTTGCCAGCGGTAGGGAGAGAGGAGCAGGAACCCATGAGAACTTGAGCACTCTGAGAAGTGCAGCAGAAACACTCAAAACCTTCAAATTCACCAAATACCAAGAATCGTCGAAGTCAAAGAAAACCTGGTTTTGGTCAGATGAGCAGAAATTATGACGCCTAGGAAGACCTAGGTATATGGATGATCAAAGCACTTACAGATACTGCAATCAAGGGTTGGTAGTATATAATTACCAATTACATCCAATTACGGTATATATATATATAGCCTGAGGATCCCATTCACCAATTTGCTGATCATTCACAATAAGTCCAAGTCCAGCACAGTCCGCTGGCTGTTCGTATGCTTTCAGGTCGGGATCCCCTCCTGCTCCTGCTGCTGCCGCCGCCGCCGCTGCTGCTGCTGTTCTTTGAGGTATCATCCCAAACTTGGACGTTCGATGACATTACCAACAACCTCAAGACCATCCAAAATGAAACACGAAAGGGCGCCCAAACCTCTAGCTAGCTCCAAACAGCCCACGTGTTCACCCAAGTGCCCCCGTCGTGGACGTGGCGTGCGTGCCCCCGTGCGTGGCGGTGTTTTGACGCTCCTTGTAAGCATATCCATCACGGGCCAGGCGCATCTCGTAGAATGGAGCAGCAGAGTCCAGATCCATGACGAGATCCATGGCGATCCAACTGAAGCCCAATGGGCTCACTGGTTGAATCCACTGGTTGAATCAATAGACTGAAATGGACCATCGGCGTGTGTATGTTCAAACATCTGCAAGCCCGTCACGAAATAGGGTTCTATCAAAGAGCACTCCTAAGCACTTCAAGGATTTGTCAAGAATATATATATATATATATAACTGTGCTGTTCAAGGGAGTCAACCAATGTTGAGCTACAAACTAATCACGTTAAGAGGAAACTCAGAAGTGAAAAAACTTTGGGGTGCCAGCATTCCAATTTGGGCAGCATCCGAGATGCCTGACTTGATAAGAGCACGAAACAGCTGCCTGAAAATCCATCCGATTCAACTGTGGTTCCGTGCCCGTGCTCCTGTTGATTTCCTCATCGTTCTTCATTGGAGGGACATCTCCATTCTTCTTATCTTAGTTAAAAGGTCAATGCAGAATCTTAACTTGGATTTATGACCTGGAGAGAATGAATCGAATTACAATACTTACAACATCTTATAAAGATTCCCTCAAAAGGCGCGAAAGACACCACCAAACCATCTAAAGCCGAATGGTTCCAGTTCACCTACGAACTTCATCTGAGGTCACCAGTGGTTCCAAAGACATCAAAGCCCTAGACCTGGAGCTCCGTTAGAACCAAGTACAGTCGACCGTTCTGACCGTTCACAGGCGTTTCGGGTGAATCGGTGACCGCCTGGGAGAAGGAAAGAGTCGTCCTGGTCCCAAGGATTGGTATCTCGCGCTCCGAAATCCAAACCTTGACTGGTCCATCCCCCAGGTCCAGGACCTCCGATGCTTTATATATGTATATACGTCAATCATGTGTTTGGTTTAAATCCCATCCCCCAGGTCAACGACCTCTGATGCCTATATACGCTATATATATATATATATATATATCATGTGTTTGTGCGAAGCCATCGGAACTCTGACATCCGCCTCCAAGCGCTCGCCAGGACGGTGATCCTCCGTCAAGCGCCGGGTGCTCCAGCTGGGCCTCAGCTGCAGAAGAACCAGCACAGGAATCGGCAATTGGTGGGGGAGAGGGTTGGAGGACCTGGACAAGGAAAAAAGCGATGGATCTGTTGATGTTTGTTGATTTATGTTGATTTTTTGTTGTGCATCAATCATGAAGCCTTGTTTTAGTATGTTTTACTGAGCAGCTAGGTGAGATGTGTTTCGTATCTTGCTCGGAGAAGCATCCTGTGTTTCATGCCACTCTTTCCCAACAGACCCTAAAAAGGTCATGAGTTGCAGTCTTGTCCCATGAGGTGCACAGTTTTGGGTCTTAAATGGCCAAAATGCGCTTGATCAGGTTAGAGGTCCGAATCTTATTTGCTTCTTTTCCTCACCTCGACTCGGCTCTAACTCGGAAAGCGGGATCAAACCAAAAACATTTGAGCATTTTCTCATCCTGAGCCCAGACGTCCCGGTGTTCCCGCTTTTCTTCTGAGGTCCCAGACGTCCCTGAAGAGCCATTCGTACCCTTCGAGCACCGGCCCAGCACCTCACGGGGTGCATGGTGAAAAGGGGCCGCCCGAGTCCGAAGACATGCTTCTGAGGACCAGATGGATGATTACATCCGTGGAACCCGAAAACGGACTGTGGTTTAAAGGAATTAAAACTATAAATTGAGGAAACTTGTCTTACAAAGGTCCATGTTCAGGTTCCGTGTGGGTCTGTTCCCGGTTGTAAAGCATGTCATGACGACTTGGCGGGCTGTTGTTGTTGGGGGTGGGCCCCATGGTTTCCTGGAGTGATGAGGCTTCTTGGAAGTAACAACTACAGTAGTCTGGTTGAGCAAACCTTGTGGAGGAGCTCTGTTAACCCTTTGGGGTTTGCCACAGCCAATAGCCTGAGAAGAATCAAACACATCTACAATCAGCCTATACTCATTGCATGGGTGGGAGAACAAGAACTGTTAGAGTAGCTGTGTCCACCAGGTACTCTGCAACTAGAGCTAGACTACTAGATGCCACTTGTCTCCGACTCCAACTCTTTCAGTCCACGGGTCTTCCTTCGGCTAGCATGACCATGGTTCTTCCCCGCCTGGACATGCCCCTGCACATGCTGCCACGCAGAAAAACTCCATAGGGCTGGAAGAGGGCCCGACCGCCCCACACCTGCCCAAAACCTTCACCGAAAGCGGCCTGAGGAGGGGTTTACCGAGCTGCGGCCTGTTCCAAAAGAGATCGTGTCTGCCTGATGACCATGGATTTGCATCACAGATTCACCTTCCATGTGGATTTCCTCAGCCTTCCCAGAAGGTATGACTGGACCCTGCACCCACCCCAGTCCCACCTTCTCCTCAGAAAGTACGACTGGAGCCCTAGGGTATAGACCAAATATATCCAAATATCAAATTATACCAATCCTGTAGGGATCCACTGCCACCGAACCTCAGAAGGTACGACTGGGGCCGACCCTGGCGCCGAATAGTCTCCAATGCTTGGACCAATTAACCAAGTCACCCGATCCGCTAAGACCCCCAGGACCCCATGGAACGGAAGCCGCTTCGTCGGCTGAACCTTCCTGTCCTCAACGCGCACGTGGGGACCGGACCGCGCTCAGCTGGGGACCGGACCGCGCCACAGTCACCCAGATGAGCCAGCAAGAGTCTGAGGGGGCGGAACGTGGCACGAGTCGACGAGGCGCATCACAACGGATCCTGCCAAGGGCTTGACCAAGGAAGCCCAAGTGGATCAACCAAACTCACCTTCTAAACCACGGAAGGTGGTATGAAGCGGTGTTTTTTCTAACCAAGTGGAGTCAAAACTGACCTGAACCTTTGACATCTATTAGGTAGTATGTTTCTGGTCTCCTGTCGCCTTCTGACACCTAGCCAGAATGGCATCCTCACAACATGTTGCTGCTTTCTGGGCTCATGTTTGGCTGCATGAACCAACTTGAATTCACTGCGCAGGAGGTCGTTGATCACATGTAAACACATATACAAAAATGGTGGTTGTGCCTGACCATCTCAAACGTCTGGCAACACTGTTTGTGCATAGCCGCGTGATTCAGGATTCAGAATACATCGGAACCATGACTGACCTGATGTCCTACTAAATGCACAGTGTACCGATGGATGATCACTGAACCATAAACACCTAAGTTTCAGGGCAGAAATTCTATCCCAAAACCACCATTTCTAGGCGGTTGCGAATATATTTCTGGATGTTTTTTTCGTTTTTTTTGTTTTTCGTGTTTCGTGGCAGGTGCAGTACTTTGTGGACCTTGCGCAAAGCACATTTCGTGGCAGGTGCAGGACTTTGTGGGCCTTGGAGTGCAGAGTTTGTGGCAGGCGCAGGACTTTTTGTGGGCCTTGAAGTGCAGATTTCGTGGCAGGTGTAGTACTTTGTGGGCCTTGGAGTGCAGATTTTGTGGCAGGCGCAGGACTTTGTGGACCTTGAAGTGCAGATTTCGTGGCAGATGCAGGACTTTGTGGGTGTGGAAGTGTAGAGTCGAGTTGGTGGCAGGTGCAGGACTTTGTGGGCCTTGGAGTGCAGATTTCGTGGCAGGCGCAAGACTTTGTGGACCTTGAAGTGCAGATTCGTGGCAGGTGCAGTACTTTGTGGATGTTGAACTGCAGAAAGATAGAAAGATAGAAAGATAAATTGATAGATAGATAGAATAGAATAGATTAGATTAGATTAGATTAGATAAGACAAGATATGATAGATAGATAGATAGAGGAGGCATATTTGCTTGGTTAGAAAGTTTTGCACCGGGGAGTTCACCTTAAAATATTGATTTCGTGGCAGGCGCGGGTGTCGGGGATGAAGTGCAGATTTCGTG